GATGCAGAGGTAATCAATAAACATTCTGCTACTATGGTGAGGCTCAGAAAGAAATGGCAAAGCTTTACTTGAGGTCCAAGTGTGGGTATTAATAGTATATACACAAAATGCTCATGGTCACTTTTTCTTCTAGATTTTCACAGCCTAAAAACTGGTCTCTTATAAAGACTGTCCCTACCTAGATTAGCTAAATTAACCTGCCTCCTTGATGCATCTACAAACTGTAAACCCTGCCTCCTTATCTTTTGTAACTCTACCTCCATATTCAGCTGTATCCAATGAACCTGCCTGTCTGTTCAACTCTTTATAAAAAAAACATGCTGAGATTCCAGGGTACTACAATTTCTCTATCACAAGGTCAGAACCACCTGATACCAAATATCTATTTCTGTATGTGTCTATCATTTCTTCATTCTGTTTTCACCTGACTCTGTTCCATCCCTGGGAACCATTAGAGAATGAAGCACTAAGAGTTACACTGTCATTGAGGGTCTCTTTAAGATATGAAAGGAAATCATGAGATACAAAAGAGTGTATATGTGGGTCATAATCCCCCAGAAGATTCCCTGAGAGAGTAGTGCATGAAGCCTTGTGTGTATCAATTCAGAGATGCCAGAAATATGGAATGTCTCTGGAGGAAAACTGCAGATCGGAATAAGTCATTCTATGAAAGATGAGAAATACTGTGAGATACAGGATTGCAAAGCCCTAGTGAAGGAGCTACTCAAGCCCCTTGGACTTCATATCCCGACATTATGCAAGAATTTAGTGTTTTCTCGGTTAATTTTTTTCGTCATTGGTTTTGTTTGTTTTTTTGTTTGTTTTGGTCTGTGCCTTCCTTCTTATTCTCTATTACTTTATTTTAGAATTGAGATTTTTTTTAATTATTTGCATCTTAAAGATAAATAACTTTCTGTTTGATTTTTATAGTGGATCATAGGTAAGAATTTGGTTTATGTTTCAGAAGAGACTTTGAATTTGGTCTTTAAGCCAAGTCCATAATGACTAAAATGAAGCTAACTCTCGGAGACAGACAATTCATTCTTAGATGGGTGGAATCCTTTGGAAGCCAGAGCAAAATGTTAAAATCTGAGTAGACAATGGCCCTTAAACCTCTTATGAACATTAAATGCTTGCTCTCTAGTTTTTGGTGTTTTTAGGAAAGTGGTAGAACACGGAAGATAGCACATAGATGGGGAAAATCGGATATTGTAGGCATGTTCTTACGAGTTTTAGATTGTACTGGATCTTTCTTCATCTCTCTCTGCTCCTTTGCTTCCATGAATCAAACTCAGTGTTCTACAATAGCCTTCCATTACAAGCATGTAAGAAGAGTGAAAATAGAGCTTTCTTGTCAAAAAAAAATCAGGCACTTGGGTGCCTCACACCCAAATGTCTAAGACCTTCTGCAATCTGATCCTACTGTTTCCCCAGAGCAGCGCTGTGTTTGATGTTGTGTTATTGTCATTAAGTTTTCCCTTCTCAGACATTCATTTAGAACTTGGAAACAATATTTCAGCTAAGATGCTTGCTCACAGATCTCAGTGACACTCTTACCATAGAGGAGTAGGGACTGTGACTGAGCACTATTGATAAGTGGTCTGTGGATATTAAGAGAACAACATAAAAAATTTGGGTACATTAGGAAAAAAGAAAGTCCTTATATCCCCTGAAAGATAATGTGATAGATAGGGTTGGAGGTGACCAAGGTTTGTTAAGAGATGAAGGACATTGCTGCAAAATAATTACCTCGTAAAAATGGTTTCTAGGTTAAAAGAGATGTACTTTCTTAAGAGGTTTTATATGGTTTATGCTTCTTATGGAGACAAAAGCAGTGCTTCCAGCTGGTTGCAAGACAAAGATGTCTCTTGACAACACACTTCAGACTAATGGAAAATGAAAGGTATGGTTCCTTACTGAGATTCTGTATTCAAACAGTGGCTTTCTTTTCAAGCATCCCAGTGTGGCTGGGGTTGCTCTTCCCAATGCAGAAAATATTCCATTAATGAGAAGAAGCTCCATCAAAATAATCATATTGCATGATATCCCCATAGTGTCTGGATGCCATGCCAACCTTTTAAGGAAATCAAACAAAGTAGACCCAGGGAGAATTTTATAACAATCCACCCTTTGCAAATGTCATATTTCATCAATCCAAGATTTAGCAAATATTGCAAACAATTCAAATATAAGATATGCATGTTAGTATACACATATCTATGCACAAAATAAGAGATCACATACTCAAAAGAGTTTGCCTAAAAAAACATAACTGTCAACTTCTTTTTCACTTAAATGATAAACAGACACATTTATCAAACATATTAAAGGCTACTTTTTTGCCTAGAAAAGTACAAATACTATGGGCATGAATAAAATACTGCTACCTTATTTTAGAGTTACATGAAATGTATGAAAAGCTGTTTGGTGGTTCTCTGATGTGTCAGTTTCTCCCAAACAAGACTAAAAATAAAAAAGTTGATGTCAGTAATCTTTTATACAGATGTTTTCTAAAAACCCAGAAGGCTTATGTTAGAAAGACAGAAGTAAGTAGAATGCCAAGAAATATTTAAAGAAAAATAGAAATATTTTAGAAATAATGACCACTCAGAGAAATATCTGATATCACTGTTAGTTAATATCATATAATTATTGAAATATTAGCTATCATTTATTGCTCATCTACTCCTATTATTGTCACTAGACTCTACATCTATTTTAGCAAGATTCTTTTGATGAGACAAGTCTATTTTTATATACTTTTGTGAAAAAGACAAGTGAAATAAGGTAGTATTGGATTTACCTTCAAATGGAGCTAATTCATTTATAAGATGCTGGAATGTCCAGGGTCATTTGGGAAATACTAACTATGCATCCATCAAAAGCATCTAATAACCTGGGTTGGTGGCCAGAAGACTGTCACAGATGGTTTCTATAGAGCAGTGCAGTCCTAGGCCAAATAGCTCTTATGTCCCAGAAATAGATACAGTCATATTAGTGTTTCAAAAGACCATTCTGATTATATTGAAAAAAATGAATAGAGGGTCCATTTGTGCAAGTAAAATAACAATTTGCTAGCTAGTAAATTAATTGTGGTTTTTAAATACAGTATTGTACATTAGATTTCAATACAGATTCTGAATCCAGACTGCCTAGGTTTGAACATGGCCTCTGGTACTTACTATCCATAAGACTTAAATAAGCTATTTCCTCTACTTGGCATTTTTACTATCATAGTATTTTGGGAATAACAATAACTCCTAGCTCAAGAGTTATCATGATAAAGAAATGAGATGACATAAAACTTAGCAGACACATGGTGTGCACAATATAAATATTTCCATTACTGAAGCAGGGTGGTTGGGATGAAGAGGAAACAGCTATACATTTGAATATATTGATCTCAGCATAGAACTTCCAGGATGACAGAAGCAGAGGGAAGAGTCATGTGCTATTTACTAAGATAGAAATACCGGAAGAGGACAATGTGTTGTGGAAGGAATGCTGACTTTCAAATACTATCATATTATATTAAATGCAAATATTTCATTTATTATTATTTTATGTGCAGAGGAACATACAGGTTTGGCTAAGTGTTTAAAACAACAACTAAATTTAGAAAATTGATGTAATTTTATTTATTAACTTTATTTAACTGCTGCCTGACTGGGTGATACAAAGCAGGATATACCTCTCTGGTGACAGATCTCTAGAGTTCTGCAGCAAGTGCAATATTTTCTTATCACAGAGATTTTAGTTAACATTAGAACTATGGAAATATGCTGGGCTTGCAATATAAAGCGCCATCATGACAACACTGCTTAAATTTGTATTCAGGTGTGACTGTGTGTGTTTGTTAAATGCAGGCATGCTGGTGACCCTGCTAACCGTGCACATATGCATGAAGAGGACAGAGATAATCTTTGAAGCTATTCCTCATGATAGCAGTCTACCTTATTTTAGATACAGGTTTTCTCATTTGCTCTGGGAATTGCTGGTTAGGACAGCACAGTTGACCCATGAGTGCCAGTGATCCTCATGTCCCCACATCCCGAGTGGTAATGTTACTAATGCATGAAGCTATGGCTATTTCTTTTTCATGAGTTCTGTGGTTCGAACTCAGTTATCTGCTCGTGAGGTATACATTTTTTACCAACTGAGCCAACTCCCCAGCTCATGTAGTGTCTTTTAAGCAATCTGATTTGCTTAAGAATGAGCTGTTTTGAGAAAGTATATTGTCTAGATAAGAACAGGTTATTTCTAACAGTAAGAATAGACATGCTAAAATGAAAGGGATAAATCCTGAGGGGGTCCCACTTGTAGACAAAAAAAAAAAAAAACTATAGGCAACTAATAGCTGCTAAGAAAGAGAGAATTAACCTGTCTCAGGGATGAGCTCATTGTTTGGTTACCATACAAAAAGTGTTCAGCCCTGAAATTATATATATAGAAGAAAAACAAACAAACAAACAAACAAAAACTAAACCACAAAAACAAACAAAAGCCTCAAACAAACAAACAAAAGGCAGACTAACAAGGTTGCTGTATGTATTATTTATATATTTATGTGTATGTGACATTGATAAGTAAAGATAAAGAGGCCACAAATTAGAGCAAGAATGAGGGTGAGGGACATAGGAAGTGTTAGAAGAGGAAAGGAGTTTAATTATATCTTAATTAAAATAAAAGATTAAAAATTTCTAGTGACTTTCTAGTGTTTTTAAAAATTATACTTAAATATATTTACCCATGTGAAGCTTGTTAAAAATAATCTATACATTGTCTTATAGCCTTGACTGCTGCCTTTTATCTTTTATAGTTTTTGAATTTATCAACCTGAATGCTAAGTAAATTTTGATGAACTATTGATATTAACTTACTATTTCTTTTGACTTGCTAATGATTTTGTACTTTACATTAAGGGATATTGCATTCCTGGCCAATCTACGTAAGCACATGATGATTAAATGACTTACCATTTCTGTCTTTTTAATTTCTAGTCTGCTCACAGTTTTCAAGAGGAGTCTATGCGATTTTTGGATTTTACGACAAGAAGTCTGTAAATACGATCACATCATTCTGTGGGACACTGCATGTGTCCTTCATCACACCTAGTTTCCCAACAGATGGCACACATCCATTTGTCATCCAGATGCGACCTGACCTCAAAGGAGCGCTCCTTAGCTTGATTGAGTACTACCAATGGGACAAGTTTGCATACCTCTATGACAGTGACAGAGGTAGGTGACAGAATGTATTCCCTTTTAATGGGTCAAACACAGCATTTACCCTTGGTGTTTATATGTGCTGCTATAGTACTACGAAAGTTTATGAACTCCAAAGAATTTCTTGGTTTAATTTTGCTTTACAAATGAGTAATGTTTTTTTAATATGGATGCATTCTTAAAATAAAGTAGAAGGAAAAAAATCAAGAAACAAGAATCCAGAGGGATAGAATTTATTTTTTTAAATTTTTTATTTGTTTTTTTTAATTCTTTATTGGTTATTTCAAGTTTTATCGCCCTTCCCAGTTTCCTCTCCACAACCCCACTATCCCCTCCCCTTCTCCTGCCTCTATGAAGGTCCTCTCCCACCCACCCACCCATTCCCACCTCACTGCCCTAGCATTCCCCTACCCTGGGTCATCAAGCCTCCACAGGAAAAAGGGACTCACCTCCCATTGATGCCAGACAAGGCAATCCTCTGCTACATATGCAGCTGGAGCCACAGAGCACAGTTGATATGGATAGTCTGTTACAATATAACCACTTGGTGTTAAGTCCTAGCATAAAACAGTTTGTCATGCGTGCAACAACAATCCCAGAATAACTGTATTACTAATCATAGGAGAAGTGGTGTAAGAGAATTTGCATAAACATATAAATAGAAATTTTTATAGTAGTTTATGATTATGAAATCTTGTTCAATGTAACAGATTTATCAGGCAGGAAGTATCCATTCTAGCCTTGCTTTAAAATAAGGTCTCTGAACCTCAGAGAAGATATAGGTTGCTCATGGGATCATGATCTACCTGTGTGTGTGATAGTCTTAACAGGCTGATATCCAACCCATGCTGCTTTATATAATTCTACACAAATTTTTTGTTGTTGTTGTTGAAATCCATGCACAAGTTTAGTGATGGGAAAATCTTTCTTATGTTTCTGTACTATTTGTTGTTAAGGTTAATATTAGCCAGCCTGTTCTGGGGTTGAGGGGCTGAGATTTTAACATTCATTGGATCCATAATGATCATAAATGAGTCTGTGTCTACCTCACATTTTTTTGAACCATTTTGTGTGGATAGTCATGTGGTTTTGGAGACTATACATAAGTAAAAACAAGAAGATAAAGAACTGTATATAGAATAACTAAGCTCTACAATGCTTCCTTCAGAAGCTCACTTCCTGGAGTATTCCATTGTAAAATTTACAATGAAACCCAGAATCCCCTTTTGACCAAGATAGGGTACCTTGTTATGCTGAAGAGCAAACTGGAGCCATTCTCCGCTCATCACTTAGACTTCCTTGGCTATGGTGGTCCTGATGCAGGCTTTCTTAAGCTAGGTATCTTTCCTTGGCCCTGTTCTCCTGAACCATGGTTTTCCTCCATGTAAAAGCCAGTTAGCACTTTATAAACTGAAAGAAAAAATCCATGTCAACAGCTTTGTGCCTGCTTTGCAAAGACAGATTTGATACCCACAGTATGCTTGAAAACTCTTAACAGAGTTATGTACAGTTAATATAGATTTCAAGATTCAGGATGACTTTAGTATGGGCTTCCTCTGAACATGATAAAATGACTTATAGAACTCAGTTTATTGGATCTAGCTTTTCCTTTTGTCCCCTGGCTACTTTTTTTAGAACTTAGTCTCCCTAGAACTCTTCTAGAAGCTGGGCATCCTTCTAATCCATTTCTCACATCTGCAGCCTAGTGATACTATTTATACCATCCATACCTATTTCATATTTAGAGGCTTCTTTTCAGAGCCATCTCTGGAGGCCAATGTACCACCACATATATAGAACCACATCTCTAATGCTGCATAAATCTCTATGGGATCCATTTTCAACAAATAAGGTAAAATTATTTTAAATGTATTTCCTTTGCCAGCATCAAACTCTTTCCCCCTTTGTTTGAAACCATTCAATGACTTCTTTGCATTGTAATGAGAATAACATCAAAATTCTCAGCCTGGCTTTCAGGCTTTATGATACTTGTGTATTGCCCATTTTTTTATTGAGTTCTTAAGACTTGTACATTCACTAAACCTAAGTTCTAAATAAGATTGACCTTCTTTCACTTTCTGAGATGAGCCAAACTCTTTCACCTCGAATGTCTGAATAGTGCTAAGATTTGTAGAGCCTCTTGGTGTCTGCTTCAATATATCATTTCCTGAGAGCTACCTTTCATATTGGCATTCTTTCCCAAAATAATGCCTTAGTCCCCTTCCTAGGGTGTATGGCAATTCATAATTAATAGTGACATTAATTCTATCACTCAGGAGCTATTTATTGAGCTCCTGCTATATTCCAGGGAATGACTTAGCCACCCAGGACAAGGTCTGTTTTTTATTTATGATTTTACTATCAGATGCCAAAAAGCATTCCTTTGGACCACTCCTCATACTGGCTGTAACTTTGTAACTCGACATACAGAGCTACAGATAATGCTAGACACAGAGTTGGTATTCAGTGAGCAGTGGCAATAAGTGAATGAGTTAAATGTTTGAGCATCGCGTTAAATGTTTGAGCATCTTAAATTTGGTCTGCTATTAGAAGTGGAATCATGCTTGTGAAGTTGAAGGGTCAGAAGATGTACATTTTACTCATGGATGAGGTCAAAGAGGAATGTACCTCATCTTTTCTCTTGCCTTATCTCTGTTATTCACACTGGTTAAAAGTGAATCTCAACAGTATTTAAATAGACAAAAGTTGATATAAACAGAGAAAGAGAAGCACTAGGACTTCAGAGATACGCGGGAACATGCAAGGGAGACTAGTGGACCTATTTAATTGCAAAGAGAATCTGGGGCATTTTACAATAATTTTATGAATACCTTCAAAATACTTAATGAAACTGGAAGAACGAGATAATCTCCAATTATTAAATTATACTAATTGGTTCGAGTCAAGAGTATCTGTTGGCCAAAGAGCATTAGCGTGATAATATTAAGTAATTATGTATTAAAGCCAACGTGACCTTATGACCACATTTTTGAGATTATATCAAGTAGCTGTCGATGTTTTAATGTGCAGAGTCTTACAGAGGCCTTCCATAGGCAGAATATATCCAGAGATAAATTTTAAGACTCTCAAAACACTCGGAGAGCTTTGGCGTTTGCAAAATGTTTATTGGCTCACGGAAATGGGATTATTGCTGACCACATTTGTCTTATCAATGACTTAATTTGTATGATTTTGCATAATGTTAAAATTATCCTTCCAGTCATTCTGTGTGCTATTTCTTTCCTCTTTCTCTGTCCTTCTCATATGCTTCCTCCTTATGGTAGTGCCACATGATTTATGTCAAGCCCACCTTGACATATTAACTCAATCTTGTCGATCATGATTTTTAAAGCAATTCCATAATTTCCTCTACTTCAGTTCCCTGTTTCAACCAATTTGATCCATTCTCATAGAGTCTCCTCTCTCCTTCTGGATTTTAAGGATTTGTATAACTTATAGTGTTACACTATGATGTCCAGCAAATAAATGTTCTTTTGAAAAGCATGAGTCCCAGACATTGAAATTCCCTCCACAACGATATTCTGCTGAGATTTATAAACTACATGAAAGAGACTTAGAAAAATTTTTATTTCATCATGTTGCTCTTAACAAATACTGAAACTAGCTTATTCTTGTTTTCTGAAATCCATCAAACTCTGAGGTTACATCCCAGCAGAAACATGGGAAGCCTTGAGAGCTCCTGTCTTTGTGTGGAATCATCTTCCACCGGGCTCAGTATCCCGGTGATAGGAAATCAGATGCTATTCCTCTGAAGCATGCTGACATTTCAGAATTTCTGGTGTCTTCTCTTTATTCAGCCACTTGGCAGCAGCCTGATACTTCTCGAGGACTCTGTGCCCTTTCTTACAGTCTTATGCAATTACTGAATTGAGAGTAGGTTGATAGAGGTTTGAAATATGTTTAACTTGAGAGTAATGGACCACCTCTGTCAGGCCATTAGTCCTTGTGATTTTGATCATTGGACACATGTAAAAAAATATTTGAATTTGAGTCCAATGACACGTGTTTGTTGGTTCAATGTCAAAGAAGGGAGGTGATATATTTCTCTGGACAGTAAGTAAAAACAGAATCAATTCTTCTTTCTATATTTATGTTTTGGTTTTATTTTGAGCAAATGCTGTTTATTCCCCAAAGGAAAGGAACTTAATTCTAGGTCAAAGAAATTGTCTACCATAGAACTAAGAGGCTTCAAAACTACATTTCCTTCCGATTCCCTGAAAAGGATGATGAGAAAAATACATGATAATCTAATCTAGTTTAGGCACAGTGCCATGAGTTAGTGAGCACACATATTACTCTGCCTGGAAGAATGAGTGAGGGAGTGGAATTTTTATGCAACAAACAAAATATTGTTTTCTTTTTTATTATTTTATTTATTTAAATTTCAAATGTTACCCCCCTTCTTGGTCTCCCTACCAGGCACCCCAACTCCCTTTGCCTCTAAGAGGATGTTTCCCAACCCACCCACTCATTTCTGCCTCACCCCACAAGCATTCCCCTTCTCTGAGGCATCAGAGCAGTCCTGTGGTATCTTCAGTGGGAGCCATGTACTGACTCATGTATACTCTGTGGTTGCTAGTTTAGTTCTGGGGAATTCTGAGGGGTCCTGTTAATTGATACTGTTGTTCTTTCTATGGGGTTGCTAGCCCCTTCAGCTCCTTCAGTCCTTCCCCTAACTCTTCCATTTGGGGTGCCTGGGCTCACGCAAATGTTTGGCTATGAGTATCTGCATCTGCTTAGTCAGATGCTGGCAGAACCTCTCAGAGGACAGCCATACAAGGCTGATGTCTGCATGTACATCTTGGCATCAATAATAGTGTCAGGATTTGGTGTCTGCAGATGGGATGGATCCCAAGGTGATGGCCTTTCCTTCAGTCTCTGCTCCATTTTTTTTGTCCCAGTGTTTCCTTTAGACAGGAACAGTCCTGGGCTAAAAATTTTGAGATGGGTGGGTGGCCCCCTCCCTCAACTGAGGACAAGTAAAATATATTTAAGAATGAAGACTGTTCTGGATGGAATATACTTCTGGCAGTTAACCTTTTAAATTTCAGCCCTTGATAAGCAAACAAAAGAACTTTTAATCTAAAATTTTTCTCTCAATGTTATTCACAGTAGTAGGTCCAAATGAAATTAGTATTTTAGAGAAAATGACAGTTACTAAATAGGTCAGGCATACAAAGCCTATTACTAACAATGTTGAACTAGCTTTTTCTTTCTGTATTCAAATATTTAAGAATTCAATAGCTTTGAGAACTTAATTTTCATCTCATCATATAATTGAAACACTTTAAGATTATATTTTAAATTACTAAAAAGGAGAAGTTAGTTTTTTCAATTTTCTTTTGATTTTACAGGGACAGCTATTTATCTCAACATCTTTCTTTCATTTTTTAAATTGTTCAGAAATAAGAATTAAGAAAGCTGACGTGATACATAGAACAAATATTGAGTGAATACTGTTCACTGATAGCTTTACATAAACCAATTTTATTCAGAGAATCCAATTCCGACAAATATTTATAGCTGAATTAAGGAATTCATGTACTGATGAAGAAATCCCTGCGCTATTTTATAAGCGAAGAAAAAAATGTTCCGGTTACCTCATCTCCTAACTTACAATTGTAGGGTAAGAGAACAGCAGCATGCATGTGGGTTGTGAATGAAGAGTTTAGTGTTATCTTTGTACATAGAATGCACATTTTTGATGGAATATAAGATTAAAAATCATTGACCTCTTGACACCGCAGACAGGGTATCAGTTTCAGGAATTTAAAGGTCTTGTATGAACTGTAAAGAAATTGTCAGTAGAAATCTTACAAAGTTGTCAGCTGTGAGGGATGACGAACTTGATTGAGTAGCTGAGAGTCTGTGGTTACCCATGAAAAATAATCTGAGTGGATTCCTGAGCAAGGATCTACAGTCTCTTTAAATTTTGTGTGAGACCAAACCTCAGCTTGTGAATGACTGATGCAATATTATGCAGTGATAACTGACAGAACATTTATCAAATCTGATACTGATCAAGAAGTTGAGGTTTTAATAAATAAAAATAACATGTGTTAGGTTACACAGCTTCCAAATTATTATCTGAAGATTTTTTAATAATGGAATCTACATTGAGTGCATGTAGATTACTTAGAATAAATGAGTTTGGAAGTTAGTCATGAAAAAAAAATCCATTATCTTTTACTTTTATATATTAGCCCATCTTCTTTGACACTGTGAACTGCCAATAAATTTTAAGCTTACATTTGTCACTTGATGAAATCTACTTATAAATTTATAAGTGAATTTATATGTAAATTTTCTTATAGTATCTGTCAAAGACAAGACAATGCCAAATGCATTAGCACTTCGAGTTTTTGGTGTGGAAATTTTATGATTTAATAAAATACAATGAAATATCTTAGTGCGTAAAATGAAGGATGCTCGCTAGGATTGCTCCATGTTAAGATGGGGAGAGTGTGACCTTTACTTATGGCCATGTGTTGACGGTGTCTAGAGGCACTTGTCTGATAATTAGAAGGTAGAAAGTCAATGGAGTGGTTAGAAAATGTATTTTCAGCAGCATGCAGCTGTTGAAATAGTGAGGTGATCCACTGTGTGTGTTTCACCTTTACTGCTGATGACAAGCAGACACATCACTTGAATACTTGCATTCAAGTTTAGGGGGGAGGATTACATTTTTCTAGTGTGAGTAACAATCACAGATGTTTTACCACAGGTTCTAAGGTTTTATCACTGAAAGTTGTTTTTTTTTTTTTTTTACAAGTGATGAGAGATCTATGTCATCCCTTGAAAACTTCATGTTTATCTGCATCTTTTATTATACAAACAGACACAAGGGCATGATTTCATTTACTTTCACAAGATTGCTTTAAATTTACTGTATTATGAACTATCCACTGAGGTAAATTTTTTTTTTTTTGGTTTTTCGGGACAGGGTTTCTCTGTATAGCCTGGGCTGTCCTGGAACTCACTCTGGTAGACCAGGCTGGCCTCGAACTCAGAAATCCGCCTGCCTCTGCCTCCCAAGTGCTGAGATGAGTGTGTGCCACCACTGCCCGGCAAATTATTTTCAATCTTCCTTATAAACTGTATTAGAAAAATTGTCAAACATATTTTTGAGACTAGTTCTGAAGCCCCTGACTTTCCTGCTTCAGCCTTGACAAGAGCTAAGATTACAGAGTAGCGGCATCATACCCATATTGCCTAGAATTGTTATCCCCTTTCTCAACGAATATTACATGAAAAATTTATTGTTGTAGCATATATTTCCCTGTGACTCTGCACTTCTTTTGAAGCAAGCATTGTTATCATTTTTTCAGTTGTTGATATTTCAGTATTTTGTGAAAATGTAATTCTCTTATTTTATGTATAACCACCATATTGTCATACTTAGAAATAGTTCATTAGTATCATCATTTTAAATGCTTTCTCAGAGAAGGACAAAATGAGTTCTATGTCTTGGTTAATATATTTTTTCAGAGTTGCTATTATATGATATATTTTCTGGTCTAGATTTTGATGATCTGAACATGTTTGATGTTTCATATACACTCCTATGTTCCCTGTACATTAATATTTTGATAAAATTGAGTGTTTTACATTTCAGGCTAACGGTGTCATAAGTGGCATAGAATAGTTGACATTTGTCATTTTGACTCACTAACTCCAGTGGGAGTTACACAAGGTTAACTTTACATTCACATATGTTGGTTTTATATTAGCTGATTTGTGACTAAAGAAAGGCAAGCTTGATTTTCTCTTCACCTTGAGAATATGCCACACAAGAAAATGCTTCTATAACCCCACAATTCTTGTTTGTTTACATTTTCAAAATAGCTAATTGGTTCTAATACTTTAAAAGCAAACAAATATTCTTAATACTTAATTTAATTATGATTTAAGGGGTTTAAATAAAAGAAATGCAAGGCCCTTTTGTCTGTTGTCATTATGATTTGAATGACGCAGCATTTTCTTTGTCTTTATTGAAAGAGCTACAAATGGCTCCTTCAACTTTTGGCGTATGTCCTCTTTGTTCGCCAGTATCAGAATACATTCTAAGCTCACTTTATCTTTTCATGACTAATAACAAATCCATAAAATTCACAGTGACTTTTTATATCTTGAAATATTGATGAACAAAACAGATAGTTGTTTGCCATTGTAAATGGATCTAAAATAAAATCTGGTATTTAAATTTAGATTATAGGCAGATTTGATGACTCACACATCATACAGATAAAAACAGATTAGTGTAGTTTTTCAAGTGTGCAGATCATTCTGTAAGGAGAAGATGATATATTGAGCTTGAATTTTTTATGGGGCCTTGACATTATGTTTCCATACAGTTATTCTTCTACATGATGAGCTTGGCTTCAGTAAGAACAGCTAGATTTATTTGAAAGACAAGGACATATGCTATTTTTTTAAATAAGAAACTCTAAATTTAGCTAAAAAGAAAAAAACCAATCCCCTGCAGCCACTGGTTGTTGATCCATGTTCTAAACATGTTGTAGTTTATATAGAATCAAATGCCACATGGGTACCAGGTAAAGTCATACCAAAGTATAACAAAAGTTAGTAACAAATAGAAAAATAGTCTAATATTTATGAAATGAGATAACTCAGAACTAGACAGATAGCTGCCACCATCTGGTTAATAGGTGAACAATTCAATCTCCATGAGATCAGCTCCGACAAAAAAAAAAAAAGTATAACAGAAGGCTGCAGGGAAAAAAACTATCAGTCTGCTGCTGATTGGGGACAACTAATACCTTATGACAACCTCTTAGACATCATTGGCTGTGCTATTCAACTGCTCAGAGATTCCATATGGAAATGTAGTAAACCCTATCAGGTTACTAGTACAAAATGATTGACAATCACCTACAGCTAAAGCCATTATGCCATCTATAAGTGGGATATGCTTAGGAAATCTTTTATTTTACTTAATTTGGAGATATTAAAAATCTTGCATTTCAACATGTTACAAGAACACATCTTAGAAGTATAAAGAAAGCATTTTTTCTTTGGCAGTTTGTTTTTACCTCTTTTAAAATATGTGATCCAGACATGAGCAGATACTGATAAAAAAAAATCATAGCTTCTGTCATAATTCAGCCTCCCCAAGCTGCTCAATAAATCAGGATTAATAACGTGGTGGACCTGACCATTTCACACTTGGGTTCTGAGATGCTCTACTATCTTTATCAGTCATCTTTGCCCATTGTCTTCCCAGGCTTATCAACACTGCAAGCTGTGTTGGATTCTGCTGCGGAGAAGAAGTGGCAGGTGACTGCTATCAATGTAGGGAACATTAACAATGACAAGAAAGATGAGACATACAGATCACTCTTTCAAGATCTGGAGTTAAAAAAAGAACGGCGTGTAATCCTTGACTGTGAAAGGGATAAAGTAAATGACATTGTCGACCAGGTTTGTTCTTTATGTTTTCTGCCAAATATAGACTATGCATGCAGCATCAGCATTGGCAAGGATCATTCTGCAAGATGCTTGGACAGCAGTTTTTAGTTTATAGTTCATGTACAATGCAGCAAGAATCATCAATTGAATTATCCCCAGCTTCAGTAAGCAATGGCAGACGGCTGTCAATAATACTGACAGATTAGTTTTGTCATTGAATAACTTCAATATATAATATAAAACTTTAATATATTACATAAGCATTGTCCTAAACGTACATGCTTTTCTGAGTAGGAAACATTAAATTTAATTCTGCCTCAACATTTTAAGCAGATGTAATTAAGTTGAAACAAGTCCCTAGGGTAAAAGTGAATGGGCTTATGACTCTTACATGTTTATTTCAATATAATGTACTCCAAGTCTATGTTATTTTATACCTGTATGTCTTCAACACTATTCTATTGCTATGAAAAGACACCACAACCATGTCAACTCTTACAAAAAGAACTATTTAGAGATTTACTGACAGTTTCAGAGAGTGAGTCCATTATCATGGAGCGGAGTAAGGTAGTAGGCATGATAGCCATGGAAGGCATGGTGCTGGAGTGTTACTTCCTGATCTTAAGGAATAGAGAGGGAAGGAGAGTCTGGAATGGGCTTTTGAAACCTCAAAGCCCATCACCAGTGATGCATTTCCTCCAACAAGGCTCCTAATGTGTCTAATCTTATCAAATAGTTCCACTTCATGTCCATTAAGCACTCAAATATATGAGCCTATGGGGGTTGTTATTATTCAAACCACCACAATATATGTATATCTCTAGGAAGAGAAGGTATTTTTGGTATAAGTAACTGTTGGGTTTGCACACACATAAGGAAATTTGTGTCCACAAATTGTAATCTACAAATTAAAAGGTGAAGGAAATACATTCAGACGATATTCACAGTGCAGAAGTGTTCATTTAGGTTTTAGAAAGAATAATAATAGACATGAGAATGTTTTTGTCTGACCTTATCAAACTGCATTACTTCAGATAAGGCCTTTCAGAATAGGATAAGCATGAAGTGACAACATAAGATACACAGCAAGGAACCAAATCTGCAATGCTCTCAGGCAAAGAAACTGACCAGCCATGTTTTTCATTTTTCACCCTGTTATATAAGGTATCCTTTACTAGTCCTTGCTGGTGTGTGTGTGTGTGTGTGTGTGTGTGTGTGTGTGTGTGTGTGTGTGTGTGAGAGAGAGAGAGAGAGAGAGAGAGAGAGAGAGAGAGAGAGAGAGAGATGTATGAACTGAGATAGACATAGGAACAGAGACTCCAGCTGCTTCTTTCTTTCTTGAAAATACATAAAATTAGAAAGAAAACATATAATTGTATATGCATTTGTATTTCTTCTAGCCCATGTTATAAAAATTGAAATTCACTGATGTATTCATGACAAAAAATTCTTGAAGCAAGTGTTTACAAAGCCTTAATCCATATATAATATAGGCCTGAAGAAACAAAAATGGAGTGTCTTATGAAGAACTAGATAACTACTTCAAACTAATGAAACTTGAAAAGTAATCAAATGCACAGAAGAGAAGAGAATAATTTTGATTCTGGTCTCAGGAGATGGAGCTAGGATTGATGTTAACCTAGGTTTCTTGCTGGAAATGTGTACATCAGAATCACATTTGAATTTCATCAGAGGTTCTCATTAAAGTTGAATTGTAATAATATTCAGTAGTCTGGTTTACAATTTTAAATATCCCTGCTTCTTCACAATAAATACAGGTGAAAGCTACAATGTGTCCTTCAGAACTGTAAATAGGGAAAATGTGAAGAAAACTAGAATGATAAAATGCAAGCAATGTTTGAAGCAAAAATCTATAATTACAGTTATGTAGTTGTCCATTTAATACACAACTTAAAATGCATTGTTTTACATCTATATGTCATGAATGTGCACCTTTATTAACTCATTAAATGAGTGTCTAAAATGTGTGGTGTACTACTTAATAACAATTTATTAAAGGCATTCTCTAAGGAAAGGGTGCAAATAGTGATAAGAAAGACTGCTACTTGAATCTCATGATATTCCTTTTAGGGGAAGAAAATACATGCAGATTCAGAACTAAAAATTATAGCATACAAACTTGTGTTACTCAGGTTTTTGTTAATATAACAAATAATATAGTAAATCAAATTATAGAGAGGAAATGTTTATTTTAGTTCATTATGCCGGAAATTTTTATCCATGGTCACTTGCCGTTCCACCTAGTGGCAAGAGCCATTCACTTACTTTTTGAATGACTATTCCATCTCTTTAGTGTTTGTTGTGCAGACATTGCAGTAAGTCTAAAGAAACACTGTTAAAATATTGCAAACCCCATCAAAGCCAATGCCAATGTGTGGTTACATAATATCAACATGAATGTACCATGACTGAAAAGAACACACTGTTCTGGGAGAGGATAACTGAAAGAAATGAGGTCAGAATGTTCTTCAAGGAACAGCATTCACCAAACACAAGGTTGTGATAAGGCACATCCTAAGAAAAAGGACACTCTTTCATTAATTTATTCAACTAGTATTTGCAAGAGAACAGAGATAGGGTGAAACTCTTTATCTTCAAAGCATCTAGAAATTAGCAACAAAATTAACTTACCTTAGATTAAGACTATTTTAATATCATTTGATAAAACCCTGAAGACACTTATTTCTAGCAGTGATCAGATGAGAAAAGTATCCAGCTATTAAAACACTTGAAAATTAGCACAATTTTTCTATTGTATAATACTAATTGCTTCTATAAAGCAAAATTATAATGGCTACTATGACAACTCTAACATTTATAAAGACTTGAACCTAGTGAATATTTATATCCCTTCTTTTCCTCAGTAAACAGAAGTAAGGACAAGTGGTATCATTTTGACTGTTTATTTTAATTCTCCAATATAAAATGGACATTCATAAGGTAGTTTGCTCAGTAAGCAGAAGCAACAGATGTTCCAAACATATTTATGGACACAATGCATGTTGATTAAGCTGAAATGAATTAGAATATTTTTCACTTGCAAGAACATCTTTTCTTCAATCTTTTGCTTTCAACCTGAGGAATCCAATTTTTTTTTAATGAAAAGGCAATTTGATTATGTGATGCAAAAATGGGTTAGAAGGCAAAGTAAACTCTAATTTCCTTTCAAACAGCTGCTAAGCAACATGAACATTGCATTCTCTAGAAGCTTTTCAAGGAAGTATCTCTTTGCTTTTGAGTCAAATGTGCTTATTCATGCCCCTGACTTTGTCTAGGTGATGGACAGTCATAGAAGTCTTCAGCCTGGAGACGACCACCAGGCTGAGACTGGTTACACCTTGTATGTTAATAACACATGGTTGTGTTAAAGTGGAGACATTTGCAAGTAAAAGTATAGAGGATGTAAAGTCCTGAGATGTTTGTAAGAAGAAGTGTACTATTATGCAAAAACTGTTGAGAAAACCCATGTGATCTGAGTTCAGAGGGAGGGAAGAGTAGATCTGGAGTAGCCTGCAGGGTCCCTATAGTATTCAATGTGAGGAATTTGTGAAGAGACAAAGGGAGACAGAAAATGGGGAAATAAACTAATGCTTTGCAAAAAAAAAAAAAGTTGTAGCTTGCGCTTTCATGTTTTCCATTTGTTTGATTATTTTCTTTTAAAATGGAAGGATAGTGGTCCACACTTGGAATCCCAGCACTATGAAGCCTGAGGCAGAAGGGCCAGGTTGGCCTGCATGCTGAGTTCAAGGAGAGTCTGGACTACAGAATAACACCTTTTCTGAAATAATAAATCAATAAAATTTAAAGGAATTATTTTGAAAATAAATGACTCTAGACTTCCTTGGGTCATTTTATAATTTTTCAGTCTCATGATGCATTGGAAGGCCTATGAATTTAGCAGAAGCTGTCCACTTGAACTCTCTTTTCCCGTGGGACCAATATGCAGTATGATGCTCCCTGGCATAGGTCACTGCTCCCTCATACATTCAAGTCTTGAAAGGAAGCAAACCATGCTTCTCTGAACACTTTTTTTTGCAAGCAATGAAAGCCAGTAGATTAATGAAATTAAATGCATTTTGACCTTAGTTATTTCATCTTACACTGGGTTGATCACTAGTTGCACCTCTGTACACCAAGGCCATTCACCTGCACCTGTTTTCCATGTCAATTATATAGTAAAGGAAATGTGCCTTAATAATATTCAAAGATGCTGTAGACATTACTGGAGTAATCTCTTATTCCAGGATGTAAGCTTATCTTGCCATTGATTTTTGACTCTGATTTATGAAGTGAAATTAGCTTCTTAGCTACTTTGTTGCCTAAAGCAAAAAGTAGTACTTATTTGAACTAAGCTTTAGCTACATCAAGGATAATATTATATTTGCTCATTAATATCCCCTAATCTTTCTATAAACTCTATGCCTGTTATATGTTATATGTTATCTGTTACTGTTGATGTATAGTTATAACATTTCAGAATTTTTATCAGGTGGTTATTTTATTAAGAAGACACAAATATAGACTGAGAGAAATAAAAATATTACTTGTTATGGATTAAATTTATTTACTTTTATGTTTTCCCCAAACATGTATGGGCATATTTTCAGTACAGAATAAAAGAAGGGAGTTATTTTGATTTAGTGGTTGATTTCTTAATAGATAGCATTTACTAAGCACTAAAGTTAATTGATATATTTTCCTGAGAAATATTCTCTGTATTAGATACAAATGTTTTATTGAAAATGACTTGTAGAATATGTAACTCAAATTTTCATCTTTTGCTAATTAGATTGTTACAGCAGAAATTTTGCATTGTTGTTCTTCACATGTATTAAATGTTTATGTTTTATCCTTGCTAGGTTATTACCATTGGAAAACATGTTAAAGGGTACCATTACATCATTGCAAATTTGGTAAGTGATTTAGTTGACATTATTTTTACCTACTAAGCTTTTTTTTTACAATATATTTATTTAAATTTCGTGTGTATAAGTGTTTTGTTGGCATGAATATTTGTGCACCATCTACATAGAGTAACTGTAGATTGTAGAAGAGGGCCTATGGTCCACTAGAACTGGAATTACCTATCTGGAACCATCCTGTCATATGGGTGCTGGGAACTAAACCCTGGTACTCTTAACTACAGAAATACCTTCCCAGCCCCACTACCTAATCTTTCTTTGAAAATATTTACTTGGAAGAATCATCATTCATAAGGGATATTTTAAGAATATAGTCTGATTTTATTTTATCAGCAAGAAAGAAAATGTTTTATATGGTTGCTTTAGGTTTATTTCCCAGTCTACAAATTTAAATTATTTCTATTTATTACATATGATATAAATATCTTTACAACCATACTTATTCAAAAATTATCTTAAAAATTTGATACTAAGGGAAATCTTTCAAAAATATAAAGTTTAACTCTTTCATTATCCATTTTTATGTCACTGTGTTCTGTAAACTTACTGCATGCATACTTGAGTTTTTAATATAAATAATATATGAAATTGATGCACATTTATGAAGAAATTAAATTTACAAACATGATACTATTATGTCAATAAAACTATCAATTATATATTGTAGCAATGTAATAGTAATGATTCAAAAATATTTTATTTCTGATTTTCTACACAGTTTATAAGTAACACAGTGAACTGAAAACTGAGTTCTTATAGGTGTTAATCATGTTCTCATCAGTATTCTTATCCCTTCAGAACATATTGAAAAAGCAGATTGGTTAATTATATTTCTTTGGTTTTTTTCTTTCATAATTATAGACAATCAATTTAGATTGTTAAACACTGATTTTTATTTCAAAAATGGGTTTTATTGTGGCAGTGAAGCAGGCTTTGGCTTTCCTCATGGTCTTTGAATAGCTACGGCCTTGTTTGTTGGAAATTATCTCCACACAACCTGATAAAAATGTGGCAAGACCAGGAAAAGAGGCAGCAAATTGAATGTTTATTCTCAATTGTGTGGTGGGACTGCACACAGGCTTTGTGTTTATTCAAATACAGGATTCTTTTTATGGTTTATAGAATATCAGTCTATCTCTCAGAAAACATCCTTAGTATGATAGGAAAAATGTAAAAAATGAACAAGCGTTTCAATAAAAGTGTTTTCACTGAGAACACTCAAGTTAGTGTCGGTGAGTGTCCTGAGTCTAGAAGAAGTTGTTCAAGGTGGAAGAGTCTGTTTAAGGTAAAATGCCTATTTGGTGACATGGTTTCATGCTCCTCTCACAATCCTCTGGGGTTTTGCTCTTAGTGTGTACCTAGGAGACTGGAAAAGATTCCGTGTAGACACAGGAGTTAACAAGAGATGAAACTCTGCAATGAGTTTTTCCCAACTCTGTTCCATGCCCGAAACAGCCTGTACACTCAGTCCCTGTGTGAATTGTGCCATTTGATGAAGAGCACAGTGCCTCAGTGAAAGCTGCGATCTTTAAAAATGTCCAGATGGAGAAAATTATATTGGAACATTGAGAAATAATGACAGAAGGTGTCTCATGAATTTGAGAGTTGCTATGTAATGCCATGAAAAAGGAAAGCACTCTTGTCTAAATGAGCAAGTCCATGCTTTGGTCATGATTCTATTTAGAAATCTACCTAAGTCAATTCTGAAGCTGAATTTGGGTCTGTTTTCTCTTTCCTGAATGCCTGATTTCCTCTCCTTACAAACTCCTGGTGATTGTAAAGGAGTCCTGACTCTACTGGAATGTCTGATAATTTAGACCCTTCATGACGTTGAAATCTCAAAAGTGCCTCCTGATGTTGAAGGGTTTTTATCCTCCAAGTTCTCAATAGAAAAGTAACACTGTGGCCAGTGCTTTATACATGCTAGAAGAGGTGGTTATAAAAGATTCTTTAAAATTCTCACATATTGATAAACCATTTTAAGAGAAGCTAAATGGTGAATTAATTTCTTCAGATACAGGCTCTGATTAAGTTCTCTTTGTAGCCTTTGAAAGTTAGCTGGTCCATAATATGATGAAGGTCATAAGACCCATGCTCATGCTTCTCCTCTCTGCTCTTCTTGTGGATTTAACTTGTTAATAATCATTAAGAGCATGTAGGCTCTACAGTTATTGAGAATCACTTGGTTATCAGTCTTGTGAATGCATCTCCCTAAATGATAGCATGGTTTTAATTTGGTGAGATGTTGCACCCAACTTGTCCAGATCTCATTCTCTATTTGTCTCCCCTCTTTCTTCTAATTCTCCTCCTCCTCTTCTACTTTCTCACTCACTCTCTTTCTCCTTGCTCCTCCTGTTTCATATATATATGGAAACTACACTATTCTCTTCCAAAGTGCGTGAGGGCAGATGATATTCTACACCCAGAAATCGATTGCTTTGTCACTAACCAAGGATTATGACGGAGTGGCTAGTTCTATTGTCTCTGGGAAATTCTGTACAAATTTTTCCAAGAAGTAAAGAAAGAAAACGTTGGAAAATGCAGATCCTTATTTAGGCCTGCATCAAACCTGTCTAGAACTTCAGTTGAAGCTATTTTTTTGTATAATCAGAGTAAGATGACAGCATGAGTAAAATTAAATGAAACTCCAAAAGAGAGATAACGAGACTGAAATTGCCAGCAAGGTAGGAAGTCAGAGGCTTATCTAGCGCACAGAACAGATGAGGCATGGGGCTGGGCAGAGATGGGAGAGATGTGCCAAGCACCAAGCACGGGGAAGCATACAGGTAGCTCCTGCTCTTGCTGTACACTCTTCCTTGGTCCCGAGAGGCAGAGCCTGGTTCCATGTGCTCGTTACTTAGAACATGATGCTAGCAGCAACCTGTGAATCATCAACAGAACCAAGGTGGGGAGAAAGCAACAAGAATGGGGTTCAGTTGATATTCTGGTAAATCTGGTTCCCTGTTGCTCTGTGTTACATAAACTGCCCTCTTCTGTTCCAAAGTATGTGAAGGCAGAGGGGGCATTCTCAACCAAGAAATAGGATAGTCTTGTCACTGTCCAAGGATTAGGATAGAGTGGCTTCTATTTTCTCTGAAAAATTCTGTTGAGAATAGTTATGGATGTGAGTTATTGTTTAGAACTGGGGAACACCTACAGATCAGAGCATCAGCTGAACTTATTAAATGGGTCCCAGGACACCTAGATACATCAATAGGGGCATTCATACAGAATTCTGAGTCCTGACTTTAGTTTCCCCATCATCCTATTCCCAGAGTTTAGCCACATATATACATACACATTTTTATAGAAGACTGGGAATTTTAAAACAGCACATAACAAAGAACCAAAGCTAATTAAAAAGGATCCATAACCACTCCTCCCATCCTTGAGGCTTACGGCTAAGCACGTGGGTGAGCTGAGCTTGCTCACTAGAAATCCAGAGTCCATTTAGTATTGCTTATGTAGAAACAAAATTGTGGGCTAACAGGAAGCTTTCCTTACTAAGGTAAAAGATGTAATAACTCTTGTTTTAAGTATTAACTAAAAATAAAAGATTGATTCATGATACACTTAATCATTATAAAGGATAGAATGAATATGTTTAAAATGTGAATACATCAATAATTGTCATATTGAAATTTGATTTGTATTTATAATCTTCATTTAAAAAGGAAAATTCAGTTAAAATTTAATCACAAAATAAAATTTTCATTTATGAAAGTGTAACATGGTACTTTGAATTGATTCTTTCATGCAAGAGCAACTGCATGAAATTTTAAATTGAAAATTTTAAATTAAAAAATTAATTACACATGTGTATATAAGTGCAATACCTACATTTGTCAGAATATGATATCAAAGTAATTACTAGAGGATGTGACCTGCCCCTTGTGGATATTGGAAGAAAAGTTGGGTCCTCTCCAAGAGCAGAACACATACCCTTAATCACCCAACTGATTGATAAAAACTCATTTTTTCTTTTAATTTGTTTCTCATTTAATATAAAATATTTTTCTGTTAATCAATTAAGAAGAACAATTGGATATTTGTTTTTACCTTTTTATTTTAAAGATATTTTATCTGGCAAGTAAATGATCAGTTTAACTGAGAATAGTTTGATCAATGATTTCCATATGTAGCACCAGGCTCTGCTCCATGATAAATTCAATGAAGAAAACCCAGTCCTTACCTGACCCATGGAAACTGACTCAGTATGAGAGAAAACTTCTATGTAAATACTTCCATGAGTTAGCCAATCAGTAAACATATTGATTAGGGAACTGCCATGATACCTATTTTGCATGAAGTGTGCTGACAAGTATTAACTGTTAAATACATGAAATCTTACCGAAGGCATTTTATCTCTCCTGTGTGTGTTTACCTGCCAAGACACAACATGTGGAGAGGTATAGGAAAGGTGATAACCCACAGGGATAACATAAATCTGTTTTATTCCTAGGGATTTACTGATGGAGACCTGCTGAAAATTCAGTTTGGAGGAGCAAATGTCTCTGGATTTCAGATTGTAGACTACGATGACTCCCTGGTGTCTAAATTTATAGAAAGATGGTCAACACTAGAAGAGAAAGAATACCCTGGAGCACACACGGCGACAATTAAGGTTTGCCTTAAGGAAAGAAGGGGCTTAGAAAATACTGGAGGGAGAAGTGTGCAGCATAAAAGATGGCAAGCAAAAAGACTGATAAGCTTATTTCTTATATTTTGCTTTTGTATATAAAGAAAACTATGTTTTACTGTAGTGTTCTTCTGTGCCTGCATCTCCACAATGTCTTCATTCATTTATCTATCCAGTGGAAAATTTATATTGTGTGGATTATGAAGTAAGAACTTTGGTGGCAATTGACTGTACAGACTGTACAAACTACTGCTTTCACTCACAGTACTGTGAGGATAAACAGTCAAAAGACCATAGCATGAGAAGGAACAGTAAGTCATGAAACGGATGGCAGACAAAAACATAAATTATATGTCCTGGGAAGCCCTGTCTAAGGAGGCATTTTAAAACTTAAGACCCATGGAACAAAAGGCTCTGGCTTTCATTTATAGCATTTTGATTATAAATAAAGTAAAGAACAGCAGATATGAACTTTTTCAATCTTCAATCAACTCATTTGTATATAGTTTAGACAATAACCATATGGTCACACACAAAATGTACACATTTAGGTGTGTATTGTATGTATAAAATGATTGATAATAAGTAACCTGGAAACAGCAGAAAGCTGATAAAACATGGTTACTGTAAATATATATATATATATATATATATATATATATATATGATTATAAAAATTTCCTAAATATATTTTAAAAAGTTTGAGTGTCTATGCTTAGGGTACATAAATAGATTCTTTTAATTTTTGAATCAGTTTCAGAGAATTACTTTGTAATATTTTAAAAAAATACCTTGTCTTACTATTTTATATAAGGTAAGTGACTTCCTGTTTGGCGACCTTGAATTTAGCATTTCTGCTGTCTATTATATAATCTTGTTGAATACTGTCATGCAACACAGTTTCTGAGAATGACAACGAACACTTGGTGTCATAGGGCATGTCTCTATCTGGCTTAATGGAAGTTTAAATGCTCATCCATTTCTTCTTTGGATTTCAAGCCTCTGATGTTTTCTGTGTAAGATATGTAATGGAGAGTGCATTCCTCTCACATCCTTAACTACTCTTTAAAGTCTTCAATACTCTTTGTGGCATCCCTATACTGCCTCTGTGAGAAACATAAAAGAAAAATGGATTTGTTTTTGTCTCCTGGAATCCACATTATGATTTGATTTCACATGTTTTGTATCAAGATGGATGGGGAGAGAGGAATCTAGATATGAAATTTTTGCTGAAACTTAGGCCCAGAATTCCATCTGTTGCGCTCACCCAATGTACCATTTTCTTTGCTCCATTTCTGTTCACAATGTCTTCCTTTTGTCTGCTTTACCTAATTTTCAGCGAGGTCATGATGATACATCCTAGTGGGATACTGCAAAGAAGGAAGGTTTATTAGTTTAAAATAGGTTTGGAATCTGCTATTGACCCAGATCAGTGTTCTCATTCATACAATGACTATTTCCCAGCTGTTGTGAAGACTAAATACCATTTAGCGCATTTTTAGCACAGTGTGAAAACCATAGATCCTAATAAAAGCTCATTGTTTCTCCAATCCTTTTCCAAAATCTAGGGAATTTCAGCCAGTTGTGAAGGTCTATTCCAAGCTGAACATGCTGTAATTCCTCTATTTTACCCCAGAGGCTTCATACAGATCATTGAAAGCCTTCAGGGGAAATTCATCTTTGGGAAGGCGTTTCATGCTAATGTAGATACATATTGCTCTTGTACTAGAGGGCCAAGAAATGAATCACACAAAAGAAATGAAAAATGTATGAATTTTGCTCTTGGGAATGCACAGTATAAAAGAAAACACAAATATGTTGATGAGCAAATCTAGTAAAGTGTGTCAAGTGAGCCAATTCCCTGAAGATGATAAGGACAAAATGTGGGAAGGGGATTAAGGAAAGCTTTCTGTAGGGGGTGCCAGATTACTTTTTACATGAAGCTAGAACTGAAAGAAACGTGAGGAAGGGGACTTGAGAAAGAGAGTCTCATATGGAGACTCAATGTCATGCCCTAGCATGACAAGTAGAAAACCTCAAATCTTACGCTGTTGTAGGAAAGACTTTGTAAAAAGACAGGTGGGACTGCTAAGTGGTACAGTTCTGTGGTTGTCTGTAGATGTACGAGGCGACGATCCCAAGAGAGGGGCCCCTGATATCCATTGGAAGTGAGCCTAGACTTAGTGGTTGCCTGAGTCCATAGAGAGTACCAAGCTCTACAGTAGTGTCTACTGAATTACTGTGCGACCTCTACTCAATAGTTTCCCTCTGTACAGTTCAAACAAAGCTGTTACTCTCTGGGGTTGAGATGACATATTTACAGAATTTTACCACAGTATTATAAGAATTGAAAAAGTAAATAAAGGTTGTTTCTTTTCCCAACTCTTTCTTAAAATGAAGAAACTTCAACCTTTCATTCTCTCTTTATTCTTTGCCTTGTCCCCTTTCTTGCCCCTCCCTCCATCTTTCCCTCCATGGTCCCCTCCACAAGCATAAACACACTTTATTTACTTCCTGACTGTAAAGTTCACATTAGGCACAGTTAGAGACCAACAAAAGTTAATCATAAAACAGAGTTATAAAAATATACTGTAATAAAAGTAATGTAAGTGTGCTGTCACAGTATCTACTTATGTCACACTAATTCTTTTTTTATGTGATAATTTGTGACGATGATACAGTGCCTCCGTGATGCAGTAAGGCGAGGAGGATGATTCAGGGATTGTTGCTTTTCTTCTTTCCTTGTTGAGTTGGATACTTTACTTTTTCACAGTAAAAACTTCTTTACAACATCTCACCAACATATCAAATTTGCATTGATACTACAAGTTGGTGACACTACTTAGTAAAATGAGGCTTATTTTGGGGAAGCTGAACATACTCTCTGTCATGAATCTGGATACTATGATTAATGGAAGATTACATATGAAAGCTGGATGTGCTAAATGAAAGGATGATCTATATGTTATGCAAGACAGAGAGGAAGAACATGAGGGTTCCCTGAGTATCAGAAGAGCCTGCAATTTAAGTACTACGAGTGATTTATTTCCAGCATTTAACTGCATACTTTACTGTATAATTGAACATTCAAAGTTGTAACCATGAAGATAATATTGATATAAGAAAATGAATACCTTCATAATTCTTTTTGACTTACTAGGTAAAACTAAGGAGTTCTATATGTGCCTAAACAAAAACTATTCTCAGTGTAACTTTTGTTTGACTGAAAGGAGGCAAATCTCTCTAATGAGATTAACACCTAGTGAGGTAATTTCCTTTCATGCTGGTCGTGGGGCCTTTTGGTTTTTTTCTTTTCTTTATTTTATATTTATGTTTTTGAAATTAATATTTTTATTGTAATATTTTATTGTATATTTTATTGTATATTTTATTGTATATTTATACAATATATTGTATATTGTATAAAGAAGTTACCCTTTCCCATTTCCCCAACTTTCATCCTCCTCCTCCTACTTCTATGAGGATGTGCCCCCACCCACCCAGCAACTCCTACCTCCTTGACCTTGAATTCCCCCACACTGGGGCATCCAGTCTTCACCAGACCAAGGATCTCCTCTCCCACCTATGCCCAACAAGGCCATACTCTCCTACATATACAGCTGCAGCCATGGGTCCTTCCTTATGTGCTCCCAGGCTGGTGGTTTAGATCCTGGGAGCTCTGGTTGGTTGGTTGTTATTGTTGCTCTCCTCATGGGGCCACAAACCCTTTCAGCTCCTTCAGTCTTCTCTCTAACTCCTCCATTGGGAACTCCTTGATCTGTTCAATGGTTAGCTGTGAGCATTTGACTCCGTATATGTCAGGCTCTTGCAGATCTTTAAGGAGAAAGCTATATCAGGCTCCTGTGAGCATGCATTTCCAGGCATCCACATCAATGTCTGCCTTTGACGACTGCACGTGTGGTAGATAGCCAGGGGGAGCAGTCTCTTGACAGTTTCTGTCCCACACTTTGTCTCCATATTTGCTCCTATGAGTATTTTGTTACTCCTTCTAAGAAGAACTGAAGCACCCACACTTTGGCCTTTCTTCTTCATGAGCTTCATGTTGGGGGGGGGCTTTCCTGATTGTAGCACTTATACTGTTGATCAAAACCACATTTTAGTACTCTATAATAAAAAAATTAAAAACAATACATAATAAGAGCTGTAGGCATGAAAAATCTATAAATATCCAAGTCATCAAATAAAATTCTTTTCATGGTTAGGCTTTAGAAATTATAACAAAATTTTGGGAAAGAGAAATGCATGTTTGAAAGTTTAAATTCCTAAAACTTAAAGACTTACACACTCCACACTTTCTCAATTAAAACATTTTCAATTGATACATGTAAATTCTTAATTGAATATGTACATATTTTAATAATAAACAAATAGCAATGTTTAAATTTCTTCCTCTTTACATAATTAAAATATGACTAGAGTCACAGCACTGAGACATTACATTTGATTCTCACTAATGGTCTAATGACTTGTAACAACATTCATGAATTCATTCTTCAGAACAACACATATTTCTGCTCTGTAGTAGGTATTCTTCTGTGTGAGATAAAACACAAAATATTGACATGCTTTTACATCAGAAACCAATAATCACTTTGTAGCATTATCAGAAATGGTCCTGTTGACATTTCAAACTTAACTCTCTGTTATCTCTCATAAGCTTTTGATTTTCCCATTGTTACCTTTGTCCTTTTAAGCCTCTACAAATTCCTCTTTAGACTGTCTTTCCCATAACATATGATGACAACTCTGACTTTATGTGCTGTTTAGATCAAACATTTGAAAATATTAACACCATCCTTCCTCTCACAGCTCACATCCATCCTGCAGCAAATCTAGCTCTGTCTCACTTCTCACCTTGCTTTGTCTTGTCCTTTACAACCAGCCCAAACCCAGCTACCAGCCACTGTCTCCTCTGTTATGGGGCTTTCTCAAGAAATTATTCTTTGGCTTCCTCTGTCTCCCAT